GAGGAGTGCTTCCTCCCCGAGAGCCAGCTCACCGAGCGCAGGGACAGCCGGGGACACCTCTGCAAGGTGTCATCGGAGACCGGCCATCAGGTAACGACAGCGGCCGCTGCTCCCCACGCCCCGCTCCGGCTGAATTTGGGGGTGTTTAATCCTTCCCATAGCCTTTTGTGACTTAAATCACCTGAGATTTCACTTGTATTTCATAGAAGGCTCTTGTGTGTCTGTCATGGTGTGTGGCAACCCCAACCAAGAGCTGCCAAACCCCAACCAAGAGCTGCCAAACCCCAACCAAGAGCTGCCAAACCCCAACCAAGAGCTGCAAATCTCAACCGTGGACCATGGGATGGAATTTGCTGCTGTGGATTCCCCAGGCTGGTGGCCTGGAAACAGGGTTTGAAATCGGTGATAAAAAGGGTGAGATGTGTGGAAGGATCAAGGTATTTATAACTGGATGTCTGGAGGTTCAAACCAAATCAGTTTGAAACCTCTTGAGGCGATTCAGTTTGGCTTCTGGACAGTTGAATTTTGAGGTGATTCAGTTTGGTCTCTAGACACTTTTCATCCCTTGTTACCTATTTTTTTAACCCTGTGTAACATTATCTACCTGTGCTCTACTCTGAGGACAACAACGGTGCAACCAGGAGTGTGGTACCTGACCAAGAGTCCTTCTGCTGCTCTGTTTTCTCTGTCAGGTGTCAGGAGTTACATGATTTAATCCAGAAGTTGCAGATAATCTACGCTCTTGTGATATTTCTCGAAGGCTGAAGCATGGGAGTGTTGGGTCACACAGAAAAGGGTGTGATGGGAGATAATATCTCTTGATGAAGCACCTGATGTAATTGAGGGATAAGTTTCTGGGTAAAGAAATCATTCTTGAGAGCTCAAGTAGAGTCAGCAGGCTTCAAAGTCAAACATGCCCCAAGAACTTATCGTGTGTCTCAGCTGCATTTCAAACTGTCCAGGAGAAACGGGTGCAGGAAAGATCTTGCAGAGTGGTGGGAAGAGATGGTGGGTGTTTATCTCCAACCAGAAGGAGAGAGTTGGGTGGTTTGTTGCTTGAGGGTTTTGTGAAGGAAAAGGAGGAGTTTACAACACGCCATAAAACCTGTCCTGGTGGTGAGTCCCTGATTTTTGGTGTCCAGTAGAGCCTGGGGGTGAAGATGTAGAGCTCATCTTTGAATTATGTTCTTCAGGTCTTCCTTGGACACTGAGAGAGTCTGTTCTGGAGGAAGTTCTCCTCCTCCTTCACTCTGTCACTGTGCTTTTGTGTCATTGAACCCGCAGAGAAGCGAGAGAGGAGCAACCAGAGGCTCCTGGTGTGCTCAGGGTATGGAGCACAGGCCTACAAGGGGTGTAGAGGGAACTGGGCCAGTTTAGGTTGGCAAACGGGACGTGAAAGGACAAGCTCATAGCAGCCAACACCTCCTGGCAGGGCAGTTACAAAGAGCACAAAGCCACGTGCTTCTTGGAGGTGTCTGGTGCTAGACCAAGAAGCCACGATGCTGCAAGCCGTGGGTCGGCTCTTTCCCCAGGAGGGTGGTGCAGGTCCCCTGCAAGGTGGGGGAGACCCATCCTGGGGATGTCCTGTGAAGCTCCAGTCACCCTTGGCTGGTGGCAGCCCTGCTGTGAGCTGGCTGTGGGGCTGGAGAGGGGTGGAGAGCCCGTCCCACCTCCGCTGCTGTGGTTTGATGGGTTGGTTCTGGTGTGAGGTGGTGGATCAGTTTACCTGGAGAGTGAGCAGATGCTCCATTGCAGGACCAAGATGCCAATTAGGGGACTCCCGCCCCTCCCCCCCCCCCCCACTCCTAGTCCTAATGTAGCTGTGAACCAGCCAAACACAGTGACCTTGGGCTCCAGCAACAATTAAGAACATTAGTACCTGACCAACAGTCTTCTAACAAATCCCACACTGAACCTAAACCACAGCTCTTCTGGCTGCTGAGAGAAAATTAACCCTGTCCCAGTGGAACCAGGACAGCAAACACAACGTAGAAACGGGAGGAAGCTCAGTGGAGGGCTACCAAGGTGCTTGAGATGCTGGAGCAGTCGCCATTTGAGGAGAGGCTGAGAGCTTTGGCTTCTTCCACCTTAGAGAAGATGTGGTTTTGGGAGGGTGGAGTGGCAGAAGCCCTCCAGTAGCTCCAAAGAGGTCGTCAAGAAGATGGAGCCAGGTTCTTCCCATGGCACATGGCAGGAGGATGAGAGAATGGGCATAACTTGAAGCAAGAGGTTCAGACGGGATTTACAGAGACTCTTTTTCCCCGTGAGGACAGTCAAGAAGCAGAACAGGCTGTCTGGGGAAGCTCTGCCATCTCCATCCTTAGAGGTTTCCATGATGTGCTTGGCTGAAACCCTGAGTAACCTGTTCCAACACCACAGGTGACTCTGCTGTGAGCAGGAGGTTGGACTAGAGACTTCCTGAATTACCCTGTGCTGTTGGGAGGTCAGGAAAGGTGGCACCCACGTTTCTCCGCAGGGCAGATATTCCAGTGACTGTTTGTGGTCAAGTCTTGAACAAGGATACTGGTTTTGTGGGTTGTTCTAATTACTCTGCCCTTCGTCAGCCTCTCTGGATGCTCCAGGCTCTTAATTTACCAGTTCTCAGGAGACATCCTGTTTCTCATCTCTTTTCCTCTTCCCACTGAACACCTTTCTACTCAGCTGCCAACCACCTTTTCTGCAGGTGGCTAGCTCAGCTCTTAGCCCTTGGCAGATGAGGTGAGATGGGCTCTTCGAAGCCAAAATTGATGGAGTTTTAGACTGGAAGGGTATGAGGAGAGGCTGGAGTCACTTGGTTTGTCCAGCCTGGAGAAGAGGAGACTGAGAGGAGATCTCCTGGGGGTCTAGAACTTCCTCCCAAGGGGCAGAGGAGGGGCAGGTGCTGATCTCTTCTCTCTGGCCACCAACCAATGCCAGGAGCAGAGGCAATGGCAGGAAGATGTGGCAGGGGAGGGTGAGGTTGGCCATGAGGAAAAGGTTCTTGAGGCAGAGGGTGGTGGAGCACTGGAACAGGCTCCCCAGGGAGGGGCTCATGGCACCAAGCCTGACAAGATTCCAGCAGCATTTGGCCAAGGCCCTCAGGGACATGGTGTGAATGTTGGGCTTGTCCTGTGCAGGGACAGGAAGAAACAGCCTCAAGTTGTGCCTTCACACAGCTCACTGGTGTTTTATCAACCCCAAAATTGTCACTAATTTAGCTAAATGTGTCATTTAAGGAATTTAAATGTGTGGCAGAAGTGCTGACAGTACTTTGATGTGATTATAAGCTAACCAAGCCAAGGTGTACTCATGGCTTCGAGTGAGGGAAAAGAGGAAGGTAGCACCTAGGAGGAAAGCAAAGGTGTGCTTTAACCAGGATCGTTAGTAAGGTGGTGATTAACAATGTCAGTTTGTCTTCTCATTATTTTCTCCTGTTATTGCAAAATTAGGTTTGTAAGAAAGTTCCCTAATTTTCCCTAATATTCCCCTCTCCCTAATTCTTACCTGATGACACATAAATCTGGCACCTTTTCTGAGGGCACGAGCATCTTTAAAAGCAGAGTGCTGAGCCATTCCAAGTGGGGATGTCCTCACCTGGTGTCCTGGGGAACTGGGGTGGAGAAGAGGTTCCCACTAGACATCAAAGGTACCAGGGGCTTCACCCGTGGTGAGGAACGCACCCAAACACAGAGGTTTGATGACAAACCCCACGCTGAAAACACTGCCTGGAAATTATGAACCTGTTTGCAGAGCGTTTGGACCATGAATTGTTTTCTCTCCTGCCCTCTCAGGTGCACTGGACCAAAGAGGAGAATTACATGTTCAAGCTCTCAGCGTTCCAGGATCTGTTGCGGAAATGGCTGTGGGACAATCCACGTGCCATTTCTCCTGAACCTTTCTACCAACGTGTGCTCCACTGGCTGGAAGAGGACTTGCCAGACTTGTCAGTCTCTCGTGAGAGAAGCCGGTTGCAGTGGGGTATCCCCGTCCCCAGTGACTCAACACAAACTATTTACGTCTGGGTCGATGCCTTGGTGAACTATCTGAGCGTGGTGGGTTACCCTGAGACACACGGTGAGTGGTGGCCTGCAGCTTACCACGTGGTGGGCAAGGACATCCTCAAGTTTCATGCTATCTACTGGCCAGCGCTGCTGATGGCAGCGGGGTTGGCTCCTCCTGAGCGAATCTTGGTGCACTCTCACTGGACTGTCCATGGACAGAAGATGTCCAAAAGCCTGGGCAATGTGGTTGACCCCTTTGCTTGTATGGGACAATACACAGTAGATGGATTTCGGTATTTCCTGCTAAGGCAGGGGGTACCTGAGCGAGATTGTGATTATTATGATGAGAAGGTTGTTAAGGTTTTGAATTCAGAATTAGCAGATGCTCTTGGAGGGCTTCTGAATCGATCCACAGCCCTCAGCATTAACCCCAGCAACACTTACCCTTCCTTCTCAGAGTCTTGTTTTCCAAAGGTCTTGGATTACAGGGAGACAAAAGGCACAGGTAGAGCTTCTGCTGAAGACTACGAGTTCCTGGCATCTGTGGCTTCTCTGCCTCTGCAAGTGGCTGGTTATTTTGAAGGTTTCCAGATCTACAAGGCTTTAGAATGTATCACCTCGTGCGTAAGGCAGACCAACAGTTTCTTCCAGAGACACAAACCTTGGAAACTCAACCGACAAGACCCTGAAGAGCAGCTCTGGCTTGACACCATCATCCACGTGACGCTGGAATGCCTGCGCGTGTATGGGACGCTCCTGCAGCCCGTGATCCCACACACTGCAGACAAGTTGCTCTCCAGATTGGCTGTTGAGCCAGAAGAGAGAAGTCTCTCAAGTCTGATGTTTCTACCACGCTACCATGGGAAGCCGTGTCCCTTTGAAGGGAGACAGCTGGGACCTGACACCGGCGTCTTATTTCACAGACTAGAGAAGGCGAGGTAGAAACCCAGAAGTTTTAGTCTCTGACAAACAGCTCCTGTAAATAAAAACCTCCAGGAACTCCTGGAAAATGTTGTTTTTGGTAAAAACGTGTTCCTCTCATCCCTCGGTGGTGGTAGAAGGAGGATGAGTGGAAAGCTGGATGGAGCAGGGCTGTGCTGTCCTGCCCAGGTGACTGGCACAGGTCACTGCCCGCCACGGGGAGCGGACACAGATCGGTTGTGTGAGTGGGGCTAAGAGCTAGGGAAGCTTCTGAGGTAGCAACCTTGAAGGAACCCCCCTAATTAGCTAAGTTGGTAACAGAATGAAGACACAGCCTTGGGTTTGAATAGTGCTGGGTGGGTTTTTTTTTCGCTGATGTATTTTACGGAACGTAAAAAGCAGCTGAAGCAAATATTTATCCCCTTAAATTAGGGAACTCTTCCTACACAGTCTTGGGGCTCCACCAGAGAACCCTCTTGCCTGTGGCTCGTATCTTCCCTCCTCCTGGCCCCTTTACTTTGTCTTTGCTGATGTGAGGAGCAGGTTGGGTGCCTGCTGAGGACATTTGAAATGTGAATCTGAGCCAATCTGCTCAGCAATCTCTTCCAGAGACAGCAACTCCCCAGCTTGTTTGCTGGCTCACTCCAGGAATCCTTCTCAGGCTGCGTCTCCAGGAGGATCAAACTACCCCTGAGGGAGGAAAGAGTCTCTCCTGTGACCCTGCCCAGTGTTGTCTCCACCCTCGCAGGGAGAGGGCTGAGCAGTGGTTCTGCTCTGGGATCCTCACCTCAACTTTGCCTCACAGGTTTTTGTCTGGGCCAGAAGTAGCCAGGGGTACTCAGATACGGTTTCCTGGTAACATCTCTGGGACATCATCCAAATGGATCCGTTGGGTCCATCAGTGAGTTTCCTTTATGGGCCAAAACTTGAGCTGATGGGGAGGATCCCTTCAGTGTGACTCTGCTCTTTACACGGGAGACAATCCCGTGAGATGGGATGGATCAGTGCTCCCATGGGTGGTTGGTCTCACTCGGTGGCACAGATGTGGTGGTTGCACTGGGCTGGCAGCCAAACAGCTGCTCGCTCACTCCCCCAACCCAGGGGAGAGAATTGGGGGGTAAGGGGAAGGAGACTCATAGGGTGAGATAAGAACTATTTAATCATGGAAATAAAAGAAAACTTAAAATAATAATGTGAATTTAAATCATAAATAATGATATTAAAGTACTAATTATACTAATAATAGTAATAAAATACACCAATGAGTG